GTAGCCGTGGTGGTCGGGGGCGGGGCGGGGCGGGGTGTGTCAAGAATTTTGTCTCTGGAAGCTCGTTTTGTAAATGAGTGGGGACTCGCGCGTCATGAGGGAACGTTTTTAGGAATTGACATGACTGGGTTACTTGCTCTTATGCCTTAGAATGTAGCAGATAAATCGCGCAGGTTTTCAAGAAAGACTTTAAACAAAATTGCATTTTTTTGGGAACTGAGAGGGCCTTTTGATCTTTCATGATTTGTAACAATCTATGTAACAACTTGTCACCGCAGACTTGACACAGTTCTTGCTTTATACCCTGCAGTGTTTTTTATTCATGTAAAATTTATTCATGTAAAAAAATCTTTGAAGCCCCCTTGTCCCGGTGATGCTATTAGAGATGCTCTTACTGTCGTGTGTGTGTGTGTGTGTGTGTGTGTGTGTGTGTGTGTGTGACTAGTGTGTTGGTAAACAGTGTTTGTAAGTGATAAGCGCTATGGGGAAAGGTAGGGTGAGTGGATAGAAGGTGCTTAGAGGGTAAATAAGTCTCCAGGAATTGAAGCAGCTATCCCAGTGACCCGGTGAGAATCAGTGAGGGTGATTCCAGCGTCTGCAGTGAGTGTCCCAGTCATAGGTGAAATCAGATGGCTAAGGCTGTCAGTTTTGACTTAACGCACTATAACATCATTTTTCCTTGATTGGATCCAAAAATTTTACCTCCCAGGAAGAACCTCATTGTAGAAACCCATCTTTGTGGGGTTTCAGTCGGATCCAGTTGACTTGCCTGGTTCATACCTGAGGAGAGTGTGGATTAAGAAAGGGCAGGGGAAAACGCTTAAGAAAGAGATGGCAACACAGGATAGAGTCAGGAGGGCAAGCAAGTGAATACTGAACACCCCAACTTTATTCTTCAACATTCTTAAGTACCCCAACCAAAAGGGAGGACATGGCAGAAGACTTCTATTATCTTGTATAATGAGCAAACAGACCTTCTTCCCTTAATCCTCCAAGCATTTGGTAACCACACCTGTTGCCAGCCTTGAGGGTCAAGAGTAACCACACCTCATACCAAGTCTGTTGTTATTTATGAAAAGTTTTTATACCTGATGAGCCTCTCCACTGATTTAGGGATCCAAATCAGACCAAATCAAACCAAATTAGAAAAAGCCCACATTTAATGGATACAGTGTTGCCAGATGGCCTTCCAGCCCTCCAGAGAGGACACAGGAAAGAGAGACTGGAAAAATCATGAGTTTTCTGGGAGGCAGTTTAAATACCCTGTGGGAGTGGTCTTGAGCATCTCTAGGGGAGGGGTCATCATTTGGCAGGCTTTCTGAGATGCAGCTGGGTTCGGAGAGAGAGAGATAGGGGGGTAGGAGAGGGAGGCTTGGGTGAAACTTCTACCATAGCATTCCAGACTCAGGGTGTATGGATGCCGGGGGCTGAGGTGAAGCTTCCACAATAACATCCCAGACTCTTTGGGTGTATGGACACTGGTTCACGTCTGGCTTCTTCCTGCTGACAAGGGACAATGTGGGGGAGGGGAGAGTCAGGAGTTGGTGGGTTCACGCTCAGTGGAAGGTGTGGGTGAAGAAGCATTTCATTAGCTGCCAGTCTGTAGACCTCAGGCACCTGTTCCTTGAGCAGGCAGAGAAGGCAGGTTGCTAGGAGAAAAAAATAGATTGTTGTCATTGGCCCTATGAACGGGGCTAGCCATGGGAAGAGTGGTAACTTCTGGAAAGAAGGGAATGGAGAAGTGTCCTGGTAGTGGCTGTGTGTGCCAAAAGTGGAAGGGCTGAGGAACGGGGCTTTCTGAACCCCTTGGAGTCCAGCCCATCTCATCATGAGCGCCAGATGCTAGCCATGGAGCTGCAGGCTTTGGTTTTGGCCATATTGGATTTGGAGTTCGGGTTTGATCATTCATTGCTATGCCTTGATTGTTCCATTTTGAAGTTGGAGTGTTTATTCTGTGCAATATGTTAGAGCTAAGTTGTGTTTGGTTTTATAAGAGTTCACAGTTAAGTTTTTTGCACTTATAAAATGTTGAAAATTTTAAGACCTCAGAAACTTAAAATTGGACTGTAGTTTACATTCATATTATGAGGGTCTCTTAGTCACTGTTCTATTGTTGTGAAGAGACACCATGACCGTGGCGTCTCTTATAAAGGAAAGCATTTAACTGGGTTTTTCTTACAGTTTCAGAGGGTTAGTCCATTATTAACATGCCAGGAAGCATTTGTGGCAGGGAGGCAGACATGGAACAGGAGAAGGATCTGCAGGCAGCAGGAAGAACAAGAGCCATTGGGCCTGGTTTGGGCTTTGGGAACCTAAATGCACACCCCGCAGTGACACTTTCTCCAACAAGGCCACACCTCCTAATCCTTCTCAAGTAGTGCTACTCCCTATTGGCCAAATGTATTAGGGTTTTATTGCTGTGAAGAGGCACCATGACCACTGCAAATCTTACTTTAGTTTATTCTGTGTGTTTTTTCAACAGAGGGTTTCTCTGTGTAGCTGTGACTGTCCTGGGACTCACTGTGTAGACCAGGCTGACCTCAAACTCAAAGATCCCCTGCCTCTGCCTCCTGAGTGCTGATTGAAGATGTGCACCACCACTGCTGCGGCTGGGCTATGGCAGCTCTTATTCAGGAAACTATTTAATTGGGGTTGGCTTACAGTTCAGTGGTTTAGTCCATTATCGTCTTGATAGGAAGCATGGTAGCCTGCAGGCAGGCATGGTGCTGGAGAGGTATCTGAGAGTTCTAATCCACAGGCAGTAGGAAGAGACAGTGAGTCACTAAGCCTGGCTTAAGCTTCTGAAACCTCAAAACCCACCTCCAGTGACACATCTCCTTCAACAAAGCCACACCTACTCCACCAAGGACACACCTCCGAATGTTGCCATTTCTGTGAACCAATGGGAGCCATTTCCTTTCTAACTACCACACTAAGCTTTCAAAAATAAAAGGCTATGGGGCCATTCCTTTTCATTCCACCACATTCCAATTCCTGGCACCTATAGGCTTGTAGTCATATTATAATTAAAAAAATGCATTCAATCAAACGTCATAATTCCTCATAGTTAATAACAGTCTAAACAAAAGTCCAAAAGTCTCTTGTGAGACACATTACAATCTTTTAACTGTAATCTCCTGTAAAACCAAAATAAAAAAGCAGCTCACATGCTTCCAACATACAATGGCACAGAATAACATTACCATTCGAAAAGGGAGGAAAGGGAGCATAATGAGGAAATACTGGACCAAAGCAAGACTGAAAACCAGCAGGGTAAACTCCAGACTGTATCTCCATGTCTGATGTCAACAGGCTCTTCAGATCTCCAACTCCTGTTCTCTTGAGCTGTGTGCTCTGGTGATGAAAACTGTCCTGCTGTAACTTGCACCCTCTGCTCACCTTCCAGCTGATGTTGCCCAGCAGTTCCAGTTTGCTGTGAGAGTCATCGGCAGCAACTTTGCTCCAACTGTTGAAAGAGATGAATTTCTAGTAGCTGAAAAAATCAAGAAAGAACGTATGTATTTTTCTTTATTATGTGTTGGATTATGAAACGTGAAAACTCAAGAATCTCTATGTGATATGTGTATGTGCATGCTCATATGTGTGTCTACCTGCATGTGATATATGTGTGCATGCTGATGGGTATACACATGCGTGTATATGTGCCTTCTGTGTTCATGTATCCACCCATGTATGCATGTGCATATCTGTGTATGCATGTTTGCATATATACCCATATATACATGTGCATATGAGCGTATGTTTTTTTTTTTCAAGCATGTTTTAGTTACAGATACTATTAAAAATAAGGACAGTTCAATTTTGTCTTGGCATTAAAATTACTAAAATATAGTGGAAGTTTATTTTTTTATTTTTTTTTTGTAATTTATTTTTTATTTAAATTAGAAACAAGCTTCTTTTACATGTCAATCTCAGTTTCCTCTCCCTCCCCTCCTTCCGTGCCCCCCACTGGCCCCGTTATCCCAACCCCTCTGCTCCCCAGGAAGGGTGAGGCCGTCCATGGGGGATCTTCAATGACTGTCATATCATTTGGAGCAGGGCCTATACCCTCCCCAGTGTGTCTAGGCTGAGAGAGTATCCCTCTATGTGGGACGGGATCCCAAAGTTCATTGTGTACTAGGGATAAATACTGATCCACTATCAGTGGCTCCATAGACTAACCAGACATCCAAACTGACTTCCTCCTTCAGGGGGTCTGGAACAGTCTTATGCTGCTTTCTCAGCTATGAGTCTGGGGTCCATGAGCTCCCCCTTGTTCAGGTCAACTGTTTTTGTGGGTTTCTCCAGCCTGGTCTTTACCCCTTTGATCATCCCTCCTCCCTCTCTGCAACTGGATTCCAGAGTTCAGCTCAGTGTTTAGCTTTGGGTGTCTCCTTCTGCTTCTATCAGCTATTGGATGAAGGCTCTAGGATAGCATATAAGGTAGTCATCGATCTCATTATCTGAGAAGGGCTTTTAAGGTAGCCTCTGGACTATTGCTTAGATTGTTAGCTGGGGTCAACCTTGTAGGTCTCTGGACATTTCCCTAGTGTCAGAATTCTCTTTAAATCTATAATGGCTCCCTCTATGATGGTATCCCTTTTCTTGTTCCCCTCCATTCCTCCCCTGACTAGATCTTCCTGCTCCCTATGTCCTCCTCTCCCCTCCCCTTCTCCCCTTCTCCCCTTCTCTTTCTTCTAATTTCCTCTCCCCTCCTCTCATGATTCCCGGTAGCTTAGGAGATCTTGTCCCTTTCCCCTTCTACGGGGGACCATGTATGTCTGTCTTAGGTTCCTCCTTGTTTCCTACCTTCTCTGTCAGTGTAAATTGTAGGCTGGTAATCCCCTGCTCCATGTCTAAAATCCATATATGAGTGAGTACATACCATTTTTGTCTTTTTGTGACTGGGTTACCTCACTCAGGATAGTTTCTCCTAGTTCCATCCATTTGCCTGAGAATTTCAAGATTCCATTGTTTTTAGTGGAAGTTTATTTTAAATGTTTCATAACACTGTAATTTAGTTTTAGAATACAAAAGATAAAAGGACTCACTGTCACCTCTTGCCTCTCTGAATTCCATATCCTAATATCCCAGTTAACCAGTCTCTATGAGGCATCATTGCTTCTTTCATTGGCCCTCAGAGTTTCAGTACTTCAGAACTGTGCAAGCATTTTACTTCTGAGATGGTACTTATGGCTCTCTTAGATGTGGCACCTTGGAGAAGGAGGCTCTCCCCTCATGACACTTGGATTAGTTGTAGTAGTTGGGTTGGGTGAGGCCAGCTGTCCTTCCCTCTCAGCCTTTGAAGTGCTTTGTGGAGTCTAGGCTCTGAGTAGCAGGCAGTCTTCGACAATCTGGGCCTGGCTGGAGAGAGTATTTTGCTGGAGTGCTAGCATGCTGCAGTAGGGGCCTTTCAGTGGGATTGAAAAACCTGCCTTTGATGTTATCAGCTTCTTCCTCCTGGGACCTACTATTAAACTGCCCAAATGAAGTAGGCTTTGATTTTGTTTCTAAATGTTTGACAGACTGGCAATAGCACTCCTAGGAAGTCATTCTACATGGCATAGTATCCTGCCATGAGCTGTTGCATGAGGAACTGCATGGGCCAGTGATCTTTCATAGTTGTAACACAGAGTTGGGGAGTATTGACTGGTGACATATCTGAGGCTTTTACCCCAGAATGATTGGATCTAGTGCCTCTGCCTATTGAGAACTTGAGTGGGTGACTCTCTAAGAACCCAGCAGCTAGAATGGCAGCCTTGGCGTGACTCAGTGGTCATACCTACAGTGTGCGCCTGCAGTGGTCCTCTCTTATCAGCTGCTTTCCTTTCTTGGTTTTAAGCTACCCATGGTCAACTATGGTTGGAAAATTGTGATAGGAAAATACATCCTACAAACAGAAGATGCATCGAACTGAAAATACATCCTACAAACAGAAGATGCATCGAACTGAAATGACCTGCCATCTTAAGGGATGCATTGAGGTCTCATGTCACTCCACTCCTTCCTGCCTGGCCTAGCAACAGTTCTCAACTTCACAAAGAACATCAACTGCTTAATGTCATAACTGTATTTTTGTGGAGTCTATTTCTGTTGTTTGTTGTTTGTTTTTCAAGACAGGGTTTCTCTGTATATCAGCTCTGGCTGTCCTAGAACTCTCTTTGTAGACCAGGTTGGCCTCAAATTCACAGAGATCTGCCTGTCTCTGCCTCCCGAATGCTAGGATTAAAGGGGTGCACCACCACTGCTTAGCCATTTCTGTGTTTTAAAGATAGCTGTTGTGTTACATTTTGCTAGTAGGCAGTATAATTTTCTTTAGAGGCCTCTGTGTACAGTGTGTTCCTCAAGGGACCCATGTCTGGTCTGTAGATTCTGCTTTATCATGGAACAGAACATAGACTGAATTTGCCACTGATTACTGCTGCTTATGATGATTTGTGAGCAGAACTGGAATATCCAGACATTTATTACTAAAATGAAAATTAATGATACAATTTATCATTAATAAAATAATCAGCAATAATGAACAATAAAATATTGAAAATAAAATTAATAGTAAGTTGATACTTAGTTTGAGACAATGGTTATTTTATACTGAAGCAAGATAGACTACTGCTGCACATCTTAGCAAAAATGTTAGAATGTGACTTTTTTTGAGACAAGGTCTTGTCCTTGTGTAGCTCTGTTTGGTCAGCAAGGCTGGCCTTGAACTTACAAAGGTCCTCCTGCCCCTGCCTTCTGAGTGCCAGGATTAAAGACATGTATCATCACACCTGGCTAGAATGTGGCTTTTTAAATCAGATGGACTGTCATGTATGGTCATCATGTGAATTCATGATCCATCCCTCTGTCTCTCTGTCCCTCTTCCCTCCCCCTCCCCCCTCCCCCCTCCCCCTGTCCTTCCAGGTA